CAGCGCCGAATCCACTACAAATTCAATCGAATCCACGCCGGATTCAACCAGGAGTCTGTCAAGACTGAGCCTTCCGACCAACAACGCCGGATACACTACAAATCCACTACAAATTCAGACGAACCCACGCCGAATTCCAAACCCATTCTTTCCAACAGCATTTCGCATGAATCCAGCATGAATCCAGCACGAGAACAGCAACGTTCTTGAAAACACTGCCGCCCAAAACATCACCTGTGAAAACGACACCGAAACAGCTGATTTTGTAGTGAAAACAGCGTTGGTCTGGGCCCTGCGTTTTGAAAACAACTGAAACCGCCATGAATCCAGCATGAATCCAGAGTGAAAACAGCACCTCTGCTGTACTGCGCATGAAAAAGCTCTTGGAGGAAGTCGCTTTTCAAAACTCGCTCCGCGCTGAATCGGTGAATTAGAGCCGAAAAGTCGGCGCTTTGGATTTGTGGGAGACTATTTAGAGATGGAACAGCATCAAACCGAAAACGCCTGAATCCAGCATGAGTCCAGCAGTTCAACACCAAAGCGATTTCACCTTCACCCTGAAAGCTGTGTCCTCACCGATTCCAAACGACCAAAAAAAAATTAAGCTGTACGAAGAGAAGAGAAGAGAAGAGAAGAGAAGAGAAGAGAAACAAAGAGAGAGAGAAACAAAGAGAGAAAGAGAGAAGCAAAGAGAGAGAGAGAGAGAGGAACAGAGAGAGAGAGAGAGTGAAACAAAGAAACAAAGAGAGACAGAGAGAGAGAGGAACAAAGAGAGAGAGAGAGAATCAGAGAGAGAGAGAGAGAGAATCAGAGAGAGAGAGAGAGAAAGAGAAAGAGAAAGACAAAGAGAGAGAGAGAGAGAGAGACAGGGAGAGAGGGAGAGAGGGAGAGAGGGAGAGAGGGAGGGAGGGAGAGAGGGAGAGAGGGAGAGAGGGAGAGAGGGAGGGAGGGAGGGAGGGAGAGAGGGAGAGAGAGAGAGAGAGGGTGAGAGTGAGAATACGCATCATTTGATTGAAGTAAAAGAACAAGGGTTAGGCTTTTTGAAGATCATGGCCAGTCTGCTGCACAGAGTCTTGGAGTGAGCACCTGGTTCAACTGCTGCTTTGAAGGCTTTGCTGTTAACATATGTTAGTATATCTCTTTTGAAGATACCCCAAGTCCAGGCTCTTTTTTGGAGATACCTTTCCAAGACAGCATTTTATTCCCACAAGTCGAAGCTCATTTTTTGCAAATATCTTTGTGAATGGGTAGCATTCCCCCCAATCAAGTCCATTATTTTTTGAAGATACCTTTCCAAATAGATAGCATACATTTTCCCCAAGTCCAAATGTTTTGAAGATACCTTTCCAAATAGATAGCATACATTTTCCCCAAGTCCAAATTTTTTGAAGATACCTTTTCCAAATAGATAGCATAAATTTTCTCCAAGTCCAATTTTTTAAGATTTTTTCCAAATAGGTAGCATTTTCCACCAAGTCCAAACCACCAACCCAAACCAACAATTTTCAGTTGATTGAAGTCAAAAGCATTATTACATTGTTCATTTTACAAAATCCTATCCATCAACCGTTCCTAAATTCCTTTTATGCTTCTCTGTTTTTAAATGTCTTGAATAACGTTGTGCCTTCATTGATGATTTACATACATTACAAAAGGCAACTTTATCACGATAGTTTTGTATTTGTTCCTGTTTATTTTTTCTATCTTCTTCATGTTCTTTATATTTAGTTCTTCGTGTTTCATTCACTTTATCTTTATGTTTGTCAAAGTTCTATCTCTTGTATTCCAAGCATGTCTTACAAGTCTTCAACCCATCTTCTAAATTATCAGTTGGTAAACTTTTAACACAGTATCTACAAAATTTATCCAATACATATAAATATGATTATCTTCTCAAATGTATTTCCAAGAATTCCTTTAACAACCAAAAAACAAAAACAACCCAAGCAAAGAACAGTATATAAGACAAAACGGCAGACAACAATAAAGATAAACCCTTAACCTTTAATAATCCGATCTTACAAATCCATAATTCTAATAAATAGTTATTATTGGAAATATGTTAGTAGTAAATATCTTCAATAATTATTAACCTAAAATGAACTGCGTGTATTCCTATTATACTATCTTTATCTTTGTCTTCTTCTATGTTGGTATTTATTTATTCATCTGCTTTATTCAATACATCGTCTATATTATCTTCATCTACATATGCATCAAAGTCATTCACGAAGTAAATTTCTCTATAACTAAATTCATTGTCTCCATAGTCTTTATCTGGGAGTTTTGCTACTATTTGGACTTCAATATCAAGTTTAGCTCTAAATTTTAAGTTATCTTCTTTTTATTCTGTTATGATGTTTCCTATACTTTTCAAACTAAATGGCACTCCCTGCACTCCCTCTCTCATAATGCAATACTCAATTATATACTTGTTGTTTCTTTGTCTTATCCTTTTGTCTATTTTCGGACCAAGTCTTGATATGTTATATTTGTTTTGTATTCTCTTCAATGCTTCACTATGCTTTATTTT